TGTTTCACATAAAAGTTAAAGTCTTTCATGAGGTCTATGTTTTAAGTTATGAAACAAATGTTTTGTACAACAGACCACTTTTGATAAAAATGATAACTTTTATCTGGTCTTCATGTAAAGCAGGGGTTATATTGGACCAATAGGCCTGTAGACAAAAAATAAATTTGCCTGATAATTTTTGGTGTAGAAACGAAATACAGGTAACCCTCGATTGTGCCGTTTCAGAATAACGCCGCTTTTGAAACCTGAAAGTCAAAAATTGAAGAAAAAAAATTGTACTATTATTTATAACGTTTTACAGTGTTCTCATACTGATTCTTATAATAAATCGTAATTCTTACATCGCTGATTTTGAATAAAAATTATAAATACAGTCACCTCTGCAATTACGTATGTTTCATTAATGCGAATTTGCTTCAATGAGATCGATGAATCGGTAAGAGCTGTTTGTGAAATGCAAACTTTTACATATGTGAGTTTTCTCTTATGCAGTTTCATTCCTGGCGCATTAAACTTTCAAAGGGCTAATTTAATCTCTGCGGAGGTACCGGGGTTATTTTTACTACGCGATTTTCTATAGGTCGGCGTCTTACATGAATGCAACTATCGCATAACAGCAGACATGACTGTACACATTAATCACATGAAAGAATCGCAGTCAATCGCGGGGACCAACTAACTGCCAATTATAAGTGTATAAAATATATTTTTTAAACACTCTTTAATTTATTTACATTATTTTAGAACTTAAATACAATGCCATTATATTACTCGTCAATGTTTGGGTGCCAGGAACACATGTCATTGACTTCCCATTGATTTACATTATAAAAAGAGTTTCAATTTATGCTGATTCCATTTACGCCGGTTCATCCAGGAACGCATCCCTGGCGTAAATCGAGGGTTACCTGTACTTAATTTCACTGGAATCCAATTAATAGTTTCAGAGATGAAAACATGCATACATGACCTATTGCTTATATATTAACATTGACATTTGGTACCAGTTCTCAGCAGGATAAACTTAAAAGCCAGATTAGATTCTGCAGAGTTGGAACTTTTGTGTGACATTCCGAGATGGAAACACAGTATTTGTTTCTGACCAAAAATTCCTGTTTGCCTCATGCAGCTCATATAAAAGGAAACTTTTAAAAATAAAAGTCACTACACATAACAATGAAATAGGTCCACAAACAGACTCAACACATTCATGATTGCAGTTTTGATATTTGTAACAATAATCCAATGATTACATTACACTTGACTGAAATACTTCACCAATTCATATCACTTAACCATTCGCCATGTCTCCTGTCATAGAATGACTGAAATACTTCACCAATTCATATCACTTAACCATTTGCCATGTATCCTGTCGTAGAATACAATGAAATTAAAATATCCCCTCCTGTGCTTAACATACTGGAAGTATAGTGAAAGAAATGGCATCTGACCAACTGCTCCAATATAGCAAATTTAAAGATCAAATCAAAGGGCCAAGATAAATACAGTGGAACCTTGATATAACATGACCAGTTATACCTTGGCTTTGATCATTACATATTTTTTACGTCATACTGCCTGTGGATGACTGCATTAAACGTTTTTGTGAGAAACATTATTGTGGGTGTTGGAAGGTAACTCAGAACCCTGTCTGGCACACTGTTGTGGCCCAAAGTCTTGCCAATTTTATGTACCTTGATGGCCTGTGGTTGGATACTTCAGCCTATTTCTGGAGCATACTCTATACATGCATCACCCCATTTAGGACATGAATAACTGCTGTTGCGACATTAGTTCAGGAGCTGAAAGCAAGCCTCAAGGTTTCTGCTTTGTACCCTTGTAACACGGGTAGTGAAGCTGACCCCTGGTACCCAAGTTATACTGAGGTTCCACTGTATAAGAAAGCACAGGCAAGGAAGACCAATAAAGATCAAGAGATCTGTGTGCAGTGACCATCAACAGTAAATGATGGTTGAGATTTTCATGTGTAAGGCTATTTACAGTTCAGAAACAGTGAGAAGATCAATGAATAATTATAACCAAATTCATTTATATGGTGTCTTGTTAATAATTATTTTTCCACAATAACATCCAACAACACTGATCATGGCCAAGTGTTGATGGATGTCACTGTGATAAATTAATATAACTGGTTTCCTACATTATAAATAATGAATGTAAAAACTTACAATGCAATCTAAACAGACCAAGTTCTTGGGATATGGAGAGGAGACATCAGAGTAAACAAAATCAATCAAATTAGACATGGCTATAAATGTGACATTTTGGCCAAATGTTGTTTTCCACTTGCATTCTTAATAGTATAATGAGGTTGCCACAATTTTTAATTCTAATAGAACATGTATAAATGTCTCAAAATAGAAATCAACGTACATTTACATAACTAAGAGATCTTTTGTACAGTCACAATGCCATTTGCTGACTACTGACTTGAAGGTCAGAAGTAATTTAGTTTACATAACATGATGAAGACAAGACATTTCATAAACACAGTTCCAAGGAATTTAAGAAAAGATTAAACAAAATCTAGAAGAAAAAAGGAAGTATCAGAGTAAACAGCAGAAGGGAAAGTAGCATATAAGGCAACAGTGCTTGAATTGCCCCGCTGCTGTTTTGAAGGAAATGCATGGTTATTTCTGTTAGTTAAAAGTTTTATCGTAAACTGCAATGATTACCCAGATCCCTCAGAAACAGCATTATTGTTACCAAGCTAGGAATTGAGTGATGTGAAAATAAAATATTTGGCTTGTAGCTTGTAACTTTTTGGACACCTACATTACGATTGTGACAATCAAGGTAATAATTCTCCCCTTCTGTGAACATATTTGAAACAAATGTTCTTAAATCCAGCACTTTAGGTAAATATTGAAATCTTTATGCCAATTTTAAGGTATTATTTAATGTTCATTAGAATCATTACAAGTTTCCTAAAATGTCCTATGACTATGAGAAAATATGGCATGTGGCAGCCTGAGGACAAGCAAACAGCTGTTGTTGAGTTTAAGGAGGGGAAGACAGATTTGAATAAATGTTTCGGATGGAATGGTATCCCCAAATGCCTGTTAAAGGAACACTCACAAGGCAGTGCACATACAGCCATGTGTGACTGCTGAAAGAGATCAATCTACAACCAGGACAATAATTAACCTCATAAAATCAAGAAGAACTTGTTCAACACATCTTAAAATATGATTTTGTTTTGACACAAGAAAACTTTCCTTTGAAACTGCTGAAAAAACCAAAACAACTGAAACAATGATTCAACCAAAATAAAGAAAATGGCTGGGAAGAAATGGTTCTATTCATTCCTGAAGAGACATCTCACTATGAGCGTTTGTGAACCAGAATGCATTTCAATGCAAGAGAAAAAAAGGTTTTAAAAAAGAGAGTATTTGGGACAATTGTCAAGAGACAAAGAAATAACCCCTCTCTGTAAGTCAGTGAAGTGGTTAAATCATTTCACCAATCATGTGAAACCAACTGAGAACAAAGTGTTGCCTGTTCTACATTGACACATTATGCATACACAGAAAATGGAAGCTGTAGAAACAGCTTGTATAAATGGATTCATACTATTTATTGCAGTTATTGGGCCTTATAACCCACATTCAAACCTTCTGAAACGTTCTAAGTGTAGACAATCAACAAATGGTTTCATTCAAATCCCAGAAAATCGTATGTCACTCAGTTACAGGTAACTGGGCTATGGCCTGCTGACTGAAGTCCATTTTCTGAAAATGACTATTTCCAGTGGAAATCTTAACATACCTAATGACATTTTTAATGGAGATGCATTTAGCAGAACAAGAATAGGAAGTTCAAAGTAGTGCATCCAGCTTTAAAAATCTAAGTCATACCACAAATGTCACAATAGACAGCTGCTTTCCACCAGCAAAGAAAAAAATAATATTGTCCCTTCCAAAACCTACAGCACATTATGAATAATGGAAAAACAAGGGAACTCAGAGAGCTATTTTTCTTACTGTTAAGCCATATAAGGATCACCTCAAGCTTGGACAGACAAAAGCAAAACATCACAGAATTTAAACAGGGAAAGAAGATGAAAGGAAAGCTGAGGAAAAGAGGCACACCTACTACAAAGGAAGTTGAAAACAGAATTGTGACGGAAGTGGCTGAAGATATGGTGTGCTGTTGGCACTACGAAAAGTGGTTGCACGAGCCATGTGCTGGAAAACACAAGAATAATTCTGACACATCTGCGATTTTTGTTCATACAAAGATGTTTCTATTTGTTGTCTAAGTTTTAATATTTGGAGGAAACAATCTGAAACAATGGTAAACTTCTACCAGACTACATGGCACAACCCAAAAGACAGACATCTTCACCTTAAGGAATTTTTTTCTATCATTCAGTTCAGAATCTGTTAATGTTCTCATCTCCCACTTCAAAATCTAAAGATTAAAACAAAACTATAATG